AGAAATAAAGTGCACAGTAAATGTAATGCACTTGAATCATCCCAAAACCATGTCCCCACCATCCGTGGAAAAATTTCCACAAACGTGGTCCCTGGTGCCACAAAGGTGGGGACCTCTGCCATAGAGGATAACTTCAGCTTGATCCCACAGAGAAACTCTAAGTGTAAATTACACCTTAGGTTTATTCTAACCCAAGGCAAGGAAGCTGGGCTTTCAAACTCCTTCACTCAGCAGTCATTGGTTAAAGGCCACCCTGGGGTTGGGGACATAAACTCCCAGACAAGCTGAATGCAGCTGCTCCAGTAGCCTGAAGGCAGGCCGCCTAGGCAAAGTCACAGGTGCAGGCCACTGGGAGCAAAAGCTTACCACTGTTGAGGAAGAGATATGAAGAAATGTAAAGGGATTTTAGGGGATCTGAGTGGAGCACACCATTTAGCATTCTTTAAATTTTTGGAGACGAGGAAAATCCATTATTTTTGTAATAACAATATGTCATTTAAAAATTACTGTTGAACAAATACCTTTCAAAGTCCTCTGCAATCTCATATGATTTCACAGAATTATGTTTATTATTCTGTTGGGGGGGGAAGAAGGCTTTTTCTTCTTGGCTGAGTCTGTATATTAAAAATAAAGAACAAAAGGCTTTTTCTCATAGCCCTGCTGCAGTGACTGTCTTGGCAATATTCTAATAAAGCTATGAGGCTTCTTAATCCTTATCCCAGAGACCAACCTATATCATTAAGAGTAATAAATATAGTCAAAACAATCATGACAACAATGACATGTGGAACTATCCTGTACATTAATATTGATAATAGTGACATGTATTGGAGTGCTCTATGGGCTGGGTCCTGGGTGAAGCACTTTACATGCATTATCTCATTAAATTATCTGAATAATTCTATTAGTTAGCGACAGTGATTACGCCCATTTCCCAGATGTGAAAACTAAGGGCCAAAAAACGTTAAGAAATTTGCTCCAACAAAACCAGTAAAAGGCAGAGTCTGGACTCAGCTCAGGTTTGCCTGGTGCCAAAGCTCATGTTTGAAATCTCTGCACTGTGATACATCCCAATCCATGTGCTTCTCTTATATTTTAAGAAACATTAAGTCTTGAATTCTGATCATGGGCCAGTTCTTCTGTTATATTATACTCCTTTTTACATATAATCCTGAGAATATTTTTCTGCTGGTTTTCCCAGCCTTATTGGACAATTCATTTGAACTTCTTTCTATTCATAATCTTGTAGGGAAAGGGCTGATGTATTTGTAAAATTATAAGCAAAAACCTGTCATTGTCCATGAGAATACCTGCCCCAGTGCATGCTGGGTTGAACATTTTATAATATTCAAACTTCAATCACTGCATTCCCCAAATGATAGCTTTCTCCAATCTAAGGGGAAACCTTACCTTTTTGTCTGCTGCAAATATATGTGGTAAAATGGACAGAGGCCAACAGGTATATTATAATGTGAGAAAAACACTTTCTAGGACAGTAGAATAAGGGTGATAATTGTAGAAATTGCCAAATAGGATAAATGGGGGGTTTCTTTCTTTTCCTTAACTGCTTTCTTTTCAACTTCGGCTTCAGTCTGAATTCCTGGCATAGAACTGTACATGACACAGGTTGAAATAAATAGAAACAAGCATATAGTTTAAAAGAAATAGGATTTCTTCTCAGGTTAAATTTCTAGCTAAAGATTAATTTGCTTGCACCAGACTCATAACTTTCCAGATTTCTGTTTGCTTATGTATGAGGGGGAGAAAAAGCTCAGCAAGGCTGAATATAGCGATTAGTTAAATTGCTCAGACATTCATTATTGAAAAACCTCAATCCCACCTGGAGTTGGGGTTTGTTTGACACTCAGTGACAATAACTTTCTGCTTGACTGATGGCTACTAATTTTGATAGCGGGATGGGAATGTCAGTCACAAATAGAAATAGACACACAAACTCTAGGACTCATTAAGCTGGTTACCATGCTCACATCCCCAAATGTGTGTTGTTTCAAAATATAGGCTAAAGAGATTTAATTACATTCTGGGATAGGAAACATTTACGTTTCAAGTTTGCACTGGTTGGGGGGGATGCAACAGAGAAAAGAAGAGTAATGAAGCAGAGAGACCTCGGGGAATCAGGAGAGCATCACGCCTGCTGACAGGTGCAAAGAACAGACCTAACATCTGTGAAGGAAAAGTCGAGTACTTAGGAACAAGGTGGTGGGAAATTAAAGCCCCAAGAGATGTTAAGCTGCTCCAGGAAACAGGCTGGGAGACTGGTTGTTTGTCTCAATCAAGAGATGGCTGCACCTAAAAATAAAGATAGAGCCCATCAGACTTTCTTTTCTCTCTCTTCTTTCAGCCCATTGGCCTTGATTTGGTCTTAAGGCATGAGAGGAATCCTCATGGAGCCCGGCTACATTATCATGCCGTGAAAATGAACACTTAAAATGTAAACAGTTCTCCCAACTGCATGTGCTCAAGGCAAATGGATTTGGAAGAATTTCACCCACTGTTCTCAGGGAATGGTGGCTCTGTGGGGTGTCTCTGAGACCCACAAGGCCAAGGTTCTCGTTGTGTTTGTTTATTTTATTTTAGTTTTCAGATAAGCAAACCAAGGCTTAGAAAGGACAGAGAGCTTGGGTTGGCAGTCTAGTGTCACCACGCTTAAACAAATGGGCTCAAATTCTGGATCTGCCACTTCTCAAATCCCTGGGTGATTTGAGCAAGTTTCAGTCTCCCTGAGCCTCTGCTTCTTCTATGAAGTGGGAAGAAAAGATGATTGATGACTTAGCATCAACTATTAGGATTAGCGGAAAGGAGGCATGTAAAATGTACTACGTGTATTTAACGCAGGTTTATTGAGCGCTCACTATGTCCCAGGTGATGTTCTAGTTGCTGTATAACCTGGATTTTTCTCTGTCGTGGAATTTCTTTTTATTCTTATTTTTCATTATAAAAATTATTTTTATATTTGGTGGGTGCATAGGTGTATATATTTATGGAGTACACAAGAGGTTTTGATACAAGCATGCAATGTGTGAAAATCACATGGTGGAGAATGGGGTATCCGTCCCTTCAAGCATTGATCCTTCATGTTACAAACAGTCCAATTATACTCTTCTAGTTATTTTTAAAGGTACAATTAAGTTATTATTGTCTATAGTCACCCTGTTATGCTATCAAATAGTAGGTTTTATTCATTCTTTTTTTGGGGGGGACCCATTAACCATACCCCCACACATAACCCTTCCCAGCCTCTGGTAACCACTGATTCATTCATTGATTGATTGAGACAAGGTCTCCCTCTGTCTTCCAGGCTGGAGTGCAGTGGCACAATTTCAGCTCACTGCAGCCTCCGCCTCCCGGGTTCAAGTGATTCTCATGCCTCCGCCTCCTGGGAGGCATGTAGCTGAAACTACAGACACGTGCCAACATACCTGGCTACTTTTTTCTTTTTGGTATTTTTAGTAGAGATGGTGTTTCACTATGTTGACCAGTCTGGTCTTGAACTCCTGACCTCAGGTGGTCCGCCCACTTACAGCCTCCCAAAGTGCTGGGATTACAGGCGTGAGCCACGGTGTCCGACCACCATCCTTTATATAACCTTGCTTTTTCCCACTGGGTGAGAGATACAGCTAATAGTCACAGCAACTGACTGTTATCAAATGTCTATTGTGTGCCAAGCCACTGTGTTTATCTTTTTTTTTTTTCCTTTTTGAGATGGAGTCTCATTCTATCACCCAGGCTAGAGTGCAGTGGCGCAATCTTGGCTCACTGCAACTTCCGCCTCCCAAGTTTAAGCGATTCTCCTGCCTTAGCCTCCCAAGTAACTGGGACTACAGGTGCACGCCACCACACCCAGCTAATTTTTGTATTTTTAGTAGAGATTGGTTTTCGCTATGTTGGCCAGGCCAGTCTCGAACTCCTGACCTCAGGTGATCCACCCACCTCGGCCTCCCAAAGTGCTGGGATTACAGGTGTGAGCCACTGCGCCTGGCCTGTGTTTATCTTTTACACACATATCTCATTCTAATAGACAACAACCCTAATAAGAGGCAGGTACTGTTTTTATCCCTATTGTGTTGATAAGGAAACTGAGGGTTAAAGAGACATTGAGTCATTTGCCCAAAGTCACAATTCTAGCAGGTGTGGGGCCAGGATTCATTCCATTGTCATTTACAACAAATAATTATTGAGCATCTACTGGGCCACACACTGCACTAGAAACACAGAAGGCAGCAATGAGCAAATAGGTAGGACAAGCTCTCTGTCCTAATTGCACCTACATTCCAGTGGAGACGCCTGCACCAATTCCCGGTTCAACTAAGACTTTGTTCTGAGGGTGGCAGTGTGTGAGGGCTAAGGCTGAGGATCTGACCTGGTTGGGAGGAGTGACATTTAAACTGAGTTCTGCAAAGTGGGGTGTGTGAAGAGTGCTCCAGGCTAGAGGCCATGTTCACAGTGTACTCACTCCTCATGCCTGTCCCCCCAGCCTATTCAACAACAGCATTGGCTCCAACCCTGGTTGGTGGTAACTTCCATTCTCTGCGTTGCCAATTTGTCTGACAGCCCTGGGCCCTGACAGATGTGTTTTCTTTTTAAGAGGGATTTTGACATCATTTCCTAGAATCTTTTTCTTGACCAGAGGCTTGTGATTGGCCCTTGGCAAATTGTAAGACTAACGACGTGTGTGTGTGTGTGTGTGTGTGTGTGTGTGTGTGTGTGCGTCTTGTAGCTGTAAAAATCCCATCTTCAATTACATCTCTTCACTATCCCAGTTCTCTATCCTTATTCAGTGGGCAAGCGAAGATGGTTGTTTTGAGTGACAGGAAGAAAAACTGGTGAACTCTTGGCATGAAACCTGAATAACCCTCTTCCCTGCTTAACTACAAACAGAGAAACCCACTTAGCATCAGGGCTGAGGGACAACTGAGTTGGCAAACATGTCCAGGAGAATTAATGAGACCGTTTTTATGTTTTTCCTTTGGGGAAGAGGAAGGACAGGCAGCATTCTCAGACCCGAAGGACTTTGAATTAAAAACGAGACGTGTGAGAAATCTCTTCAATTTTTTCCCATTCAATCCTGTCACACATTTTATGATCTTTGGTTTGGGGGCCCAATTTTAAGCTTGCCTTGGCTAAGAACTAGGGACTCAAGACATTAAAGACTCCTCTTCCCCATCCTCCCAGGGGATCTTAATTTGGTGCAGGAAATAGATACGTTTAAATAAGCTGCTTTTATACAAAGTAAACTGTGCTTAGGACTCAGCACAGTGCCGGCCCCATTGAGACTGCATTAGCTGTTCCCCTTCAGAGAAACAGAAGAAATGGAATTTATATAAGAAAATGTAGGAAGAAATGTATTGTAAGGATTGGCTTACCTGATTATGAGGGATGAGAAGTCCCATGATACACCATCTTCAAGCCGAAGAACCAGGAAAGCCAGTGGTGTGGTTCCAGTCCGAGTCTCAAGTCCCAAGAACGAGGGGTGCTTATGTCTGAGGGCAGGAGAAGACGGATGCCCCAGCTCAGGTAGAGAGAGCAAATTCATTCTTCCTCTGCCTTTTTGTTCTCAACAGATTGGATACTACCCACCCACAATGGTGAAAGTAATCATCTTTGCTCAGTCTACTGATTCAAATGCTAATCTTTTCCAGAATCACTGTCACAGACACATCCAGAAATAATGTTTTACCAGCTATCTGGGCACCACTCAGCCTGATCAAGTTGACACATAAAATTAACCATCATAGGCACTTAATTAAGTTGTGTAGAATGATTGAGTGTTTGCAGGAATGGATGGATGGATGGATGGATGGATGGATGGATGGATGGATGAATGAAGGTCCATGGGAAAGCGCCAGACTCTTGGGTGTGCTTTTAGTGAAGTGTATTGTTAGGAGTTTTACGGAGAATTGGGGGTTGATGTATGCAGGACTTTACTGAGTGAAAGAGAAGATAAAGAGATAAAAGGTCATGGAAAAACCTTAAGACTCAGATTTGGGGGCCCAATTTTAAGCTTGCCTGCATCCCTACTTCCCTTAGAATACTGTGGTGGGTAGGGGAGCACTCTGCAGTGATGCTCAAACTTGAGCATGCATTGGAATCACTTGGGAGGTTTCTTAAAACCCAGATGGGCCGGGCATGGTGGCTCACACCTGTCATTCCAGCACTTTGGGAGGCCAAGGCAGGCAGATCACTTGAGATCAGGAGTTCGAGATCAGCCTGGCCAACATGGTGAAACCCAGTCTCTACTAAAAATCAAAAAATTAGCTGGGCGTGGTGGTGGGCACCTATAATCCCAGCTACTTGGGAGGCTGAGGTAGGAGAATCTCTTGAACTCAGGAACCGGAGGTTGCAGTGAGCCAAGGTCACTCCACTGCACTCTAGCCTAGGAGACAGAGAGATTCCATCTTAAAAAAAAAAACCACCAAAACACACAAAAACCCAGATTGTGGGGCCCCAACCACAGAGTTTCTGACTCAGAAAGTTTAGGGTAGAGCTTGAGAACTTGCATTTGTGGCAATTTCTCATGTGATGGTGACGCTGATGGCCCAGGTACCACATATTGAGAACCACCAGCCAATTGGCTTAGAACAAGGACTCTGGACTCAAACAACTTGAGCTTAGGGTTGCCCGGTAAAATACGCTCAGTTAAAGTTGCATTTCACAGAAACAACAGATAATTTTTTAGTGTAAGTCCCATGTCAGAGGCATCCTGTATTTTTACTTGCTACATCTGGCAACCCTATTGGGTTTAAGTCTCAGTGCTGTTACTCTGAAGTCATGCTGTTGAAGGCTGATCATTTAGGCTCTCTGAGTTTCAGTATCCCCCACCTACAAAACGGGGCTGGTAACAATACCAGCTGTCTCCTAAAGTAATTATGACGATGAAATAATCGTATAAAGGATTTCGCACACAGCCTTGCCTGTAGCAAGCACGCAGGAAATGTCAGCTGTTATTATTCACCATCATCCTCAGGTGAGTAACTTTGGGGGTGAAAGAAGCATTATACAGAGAGTGTTTTTTTTTTAAAGGATTTTATGATTCAGCCTTTTAAATTTTAAACTAGGAAATATTTCTCCTCTTTGAAAAGGTCCTCGTAGCTGCCCTCGGTCCTTGTAGCTGCCCTCTCTCATTTCTTTAATAGTAGATCATAAAGAATGGATTGGTTGATTGCATCTAAAAGCTCCTCTTCCAACAACTCCCAACCCCACTCAAGGCCAGATTTGACTGATCTCTGGGTGGTGTGTCTGGGTGTAAAATTTCTGAGGGGCTAGTAAAGGCAGGTCCCTGGGGGTAGGGCTGGGTCCTGCCTCTGGAAAATAGGCACAGCTCCTTTCAACCTGCTGCTTGCTATGAATGAAGACAGAAAGAGGGTCAGGTGTGGTAGCCTGTAATCTGTAATCCCAGCATTTTGGGATGCTGAGGCAGAAGGATCACCTAAGGCCAGAAGTTTGAGATCTGTCTGGGCAGCATAGCGAGACCCTCTCTCTACAAATTAAAAATTAACCAGGCATAGTGGGGCACACCAGTAATCCCAGCTACCTGGGGAGGCTGAGGTGGGAGGATCGCTTGAGCCTAGGAGTTTGAGAACAACCAGGGCAACATAAGGAGACTCCATCTCTACAAAAAATAAAAAGTCAAGCCACACAGGGTAATGCATGCCAGTAGTCCCAGCTACTCAGGAGGCTGAGGCAGGAGGATCACTCGAGCCCGGGAGTTCGAAGTTACACTGAGCTATGATCCTGCAGATTGTAGCTGCACATCAGCACAGGTGACAGAGTGAGACTCTGTCTCTTAAAAAACAACAACAGCAACAACAACGAAAACAAATAGAATGAGAGGGAGAGGGAGAATGCTTTTTAATATAGAATGGATTCAGGGCTGATTCCATCCCTTGGAATTACATTTTTCCCCTCAATATTTCAAACCTATGTCCATTTTGAGGTTTGGAATCCCCGTTTCCCCTGCGCTTCCTGGAGTGCCAGCCCATGTTGGAAGCTGGAGAGCCAGTGAGGGTCAGCCTGAAATGTTCATGGGCAGGCTGGGCTGCGCTGGGGACTGAGCGCTGGTCTGAAATGCCTGAATATTTCTTTATAGTTGACCACATCAGTATTTTTCAGCCTGTAGGTTGTGACCTGTAAATGGGTCATGAAATCCATTTGAAGGGTCATAACTAGTATCCCTGTTTTTAGAAAAGAAAGAGAATGCAACGCAATGGAATAGAAAATATCAGGATGCAGGCCGGGCACGGTAGCTCATACCTCTAATCCCAGCACTTTGGGAGGTGAGACGGGTGGATTTACTGAGGTCAGGAGATTGAGACCAACCTGGCCAAATCCTGATCCTAGAGACAGGCAAAATCCTGTCTCTCCCAAAAAACAAAAAAATTAGCCAGGTGTGGTGGTGTGTACCTGTAATCCCAGCTACCCAGGAGACTGAGGCAGGAGAATCGCTTGAACCCAGGAGGTGGAGGTTGCAGTGAGCAGAGATTGCACCACTGCACTCCAGCCTGAGCAACAGAGTAAGACTCCATCTCAAAAAAAAAAAAAAAAAAGCAAAGAAAAGAAAATATCAGGATACACTGCAGTGCATAGGAAGGGTAAGTGTTGTAAACTTTTGATACATATGACATGTATGGTAAATATGTAACATACACTATTTACATGTGTAATGAGTCATGGAATATGGTCAAAAGAACGTGGAAGTCATGAAAGCAGGTAATAGCTAAGGCCCCTTGCAATTTTGCAATATGGTGTCAATAAGACAGTGGTTTTTAAGCACGGGCAGTTTTGCTTCTCAAGGGAGATTTCGCAACATCTGGAGACATTTTTGATTGTCACAACTTTGTGGAGAAATTGTGTGCTACTGGCATCTAATGAGTACAGGCCAGGGGTGCTGCTAAATGTCCTGCATTGCACAGGACAGTCCCCACAACAGGGAGTTATCTGGCCCCAAATGTCAATAGTGTGGACGTTGAGAAACCCTGTTCTAAGAGTATGTGTGGATAGAATCACTTATCAGTAGTGGCCTTATTACTACCAGCGAGGATTTACTGAGCACTTACTATATATGCAGGCGTGCTTCTAAGTGCTTACATTAATGAACTCTTTTAATACTTACAACAGGTGGGAGATGAAAGTGTGTTTCCTTCCTTCCCCCTTTTCAGATGAGGAAATTGAGGCATACATAGGATGATCAAAGGTTGCCCAAAGTTACAAAGTTAGCAGAATTAGGATTCTAATCCAGGAATTCTGGCTTTAATTCCTTGAATCAGCATTTTATACTTCCATAGCACTTCAGTCTCCAAAGCCTTTTTTTTTTCTTGTAGCAAAACACATATAACATAAAATTTGCCATTTCGACCATTTAAAAATATACAAGTCAATGGCATTAAGTATATTCACAATGTCATGCAACCCCGTTGATCACCACCATCAATTTCAAAATTTTTGCCACCCCAAACGGAAGCTCTGAACTAGTTAAGCAGTCATTCCACACATTCTTTCCTCTCCTCGGCCCCTGGTAACCTCCCATCTTTTCTCTGTCTCTATGAATTTGCCGATTCTAGATATTTCGTATGAATGAAGTTGTGTGATCTGTGGTCTTTTGTATCTGGCTTCTTTCACTTAGCATAATGTTTTCAAGGTTTCTACATGCTGTGGCCTGTGTCATAATTTCATTCCTTTTTATGACTGATTCATAGTCCATTGTATGGATAGATCACATTTTTTTATACATGTGTCTGTTGATGGACACTTTGTTTGCTTCCACATTTTAGCTATTGTGAATAATACTGATATGAGCCCAAAGCTTTTTTTATACTGAAGGTAGAGAAGGATTGTATCACTGAGAACAGGGGAGAAATTCAGATTGTTTTGGTGACAGACACTGTTCTCAGTCATCTCACATATACTATCTCATTTGATCTTCACATGAACCCCATGAAGCTCCCCCGTTTTGACAGATATGAACAGAGAGGGTAGGTCACTTGCCCAGGGTCACACAGTGAATCAGTACACATCACTCTTCGTCACGAAGAGAA